AAATAAAGACTGGCTATACTATTTAAGTGTATGCCCTGTAACCAGAGGGTTGCAGGGCATACAGTATTTGTGTCCTTGGGCAAGACACCTCTCATGCTTTACCTGCTGGTGGTGGTCGGAGGGACTGGTGGCACCATTGTACCGCAGCCTCGCTTCTGTCAGTGCACCCCAGTGATGCTGTTGCTACATTGTATCTTATCAGCACAAAAATCAGTGTGTGAACGTGTGTGTGAATTGATGAGTGACTGGTTGGTTGTAAAGCACCTTGGGGGGTTGTAAAACCCTAGAGGGCGCTATAAAATGTGGCCATTTGTTAAGTAAATTCTGTTCAATAGACTTTCTTCTTTAGACAATTATCGTCTCCAACTTAGTCTCCTAATTTCTCTTTAATTATCCAGAATCTCATTCAAACACTTCATTTACATTACATTATGACCTCATGTGTGATCCTATTGGTGGTGTAAAAACCAGCAGAGTTCTGCTGCAGCACCCAGGACCATAGAAGCATGTTTTTCCCCTCCTCATTGACCCAAAGCATGTGACCTGTTTTAATGTCCCACTTTTAGTCTTCGTGGGAAACCTAAAATTGTTATTTTTCTAGTCTGTGTGATGGAGTATAGGTCATACTCCAGTTTGCTAATGCGATCTCTCTCCAAGAAACCTGAAGTCACTGCTTCCACTTGAACCTGCAGGCCCTCTGGCCTCTGAGAGCGCCAGCAGACAACGTCAGATTATGCTGCCTCACCATCTGTCTCATCCACATGAGGTACAGCAGCTTACATATCATGAAAAGGGACAGTCTGAATGGGGACAGAGCATGAGTCATGGGTAACCAGATCACAGATGAGCCAGTTTTAGGGAATTTGAGACTTCTGCTGGTTTTTTCGTTTGGTCTGTTTTGTCCTAAAGCTACCAACAAGATGCATCTCATTGACTCGACTACATTGTGAAAGAATGTAGTTTCCAGAAAAAAAAACATAGACTTTGTTTTGTTAGCAGGTTTTATTACAAAAAATATATTATAGTTTTGTCAAGTATAAATTTATCAATTCACATTCAGTAGGACATTAGAGGGCTATTTTCAGAATGCTGTTCATCACTAAAACCCCTGTGGATTGTGTGCCGAGGAAGGCGAAAGTGTCAGATGAAGGAGAAGCAGAGAATTATTACCTTTGGACTGACATCAGGGATGCAAAGAGTCTGTAAATGGGACTGTTGTGTAAAAAAAAAAAAAAAATTTAAAATGGGTGGATGAATCAGAACAGGATCGAGATGAATAGTTAGTGGAAAAATGAAAAAAAAAGGGGGGGGTGTAAATGAAAGGGAAGGGAAGAGCATAATGAGATCAGAATGAGGAAACAAAAGATGGGAGTAAAAAATGAAAGAGAGAAAAGCAACCTTAACATTTAAATGAGTCACGACTGAGGGCAGACAACCACCTCACCGCATTTGGATTCAAGACCTGTGAGTAATGAGGACGGCCAAACAACTGTTGGATTTCCATCAGGAATATTAAACCTCACTTCATCTTCCTGACATGCTAACACTCATTATATGCGATAAATATACCACACACAGCAGACGTCGGAAGGGACGGGCTTGGAGAATGAGGTCTGCAGACTAGTTAAAATGGCTGGTGGTGTGTATAATGTCAGAGCAAATGGCTTAAATCACAAGTGCAATAAAGATTTCCTGAATGTCCTACAGGGCTTCATCAAAAGTTTGAAATCAACTTATTTGTGCAGCTATGATTGGGCATCTAATAAAATGTCCTATCAGTTAATAAAACATGGAGTACCATGCTTTATCAACAGCTTACATGATTCTGTAACACGTCCTGTGGCTTTCACTCAGGTGGGAATCATTGCAGACATCTACACACACAAATATGAGCACAGGCACACACACACGCACACACTCACACACACACACACACACACACACACTTACATGCAGCCACTCGTTGTGTTGCTGGCAACCTCTGGAGGTCTGGTGGTTATGTAAGAAGCTCAGGAGAAGAGAGGTGGGGGTTGCTCATGCACTGTTCACGCTCAGGCTTATTGCCTCAGGGCTTTGCTATGAGCTTGGTTTGACTGATAAGAGGAGTTTGTGTGTGTGTGTGTGTGTGTGTGTGTGTGTGTGTGTGTGTGTGTAGCAGAGAGAGAGAGTGACAGAAAGACTGAAGAGGCTATTTTTTGAGGCTTTAAATATCCATGAATTTGTACACGGGCGGACATTAAAATAATTGTGTTTGTATGTGTGTGTGTGTGTGTGTGTGTGTGTGTGTGTGTGTGCTGGTTTTCTGTGGAAAGTAGGTCAGGATCAGCTTTAATCTTTTTGTTGTTGTTGCCTTTTCCACAATTTTTAGTATAAAACGAGATCAGACCATTTCACAAAATCTATTCTCAACTGAATTCAACAACATATGAGACACATCTACGAGAAAAAAAATGCATGGTCAAATTTAATCATTGCATTCTGATTATTTTTTGCAGTAAAAATTCTTAAAGGACTGGGTTACTCGGGGTGGGGCGTGGGGAGTATACCGGTGCACCATTTCTCTGACCTAAAAGTTTCCCACATCACAGCTGAGCTTCAGACGACAGGTTCCTGATATTTGGACATCTCCCCTCTGATTGGGTAACAGCAATGTAGCTCTACCACTGACTTACAATGTGGATTTTTTATCTCCACAGATAACACAAGCCCAGAGGAGCTTCTGCCGTGTGGTGGTGTTGCTAATGCTAATAGTTAGCATCTACTAGACATCCGAAGCTGATTCCCTGACATTAAAACAACAACAGCCTTCCCGTCGCAAGTCAAGATCGGTGAGTCCATTAAGGCTAAATCATATTTTTCCATTGTTTTTCTCACTAAAACCTTTAGAAGAAACATTAGTATCAATCTTTTTGAGAATAATAGGGTAAGTAAATAAACTGTCTTGTATTAGTCTCTTAAAGAAAAGGTAAGACTGTTTTCTGACAACAGTTTGCATAAACAAGTTAAACACAAGCATGTTGAAACAGCCTCTCACATAACTGACAGCGGCACACTTGGTCTGGTTGGATGGTGTCATTTGTGATTCGAGTCTCACGACTACGACAGAGTCCAAAGTCTCTGTGACACAAGCCCACCCCACCGTGACACTGACGATGATGTGAACAAGAGAACATCACTGTGTGTCAGAATCCATTTCTTTCCTATTACAGAATGAATGTTTGGCATGGGGTGTTTTTCTTTCTCTGGAACAAAAAATCTTTACAATTTTTGAGAAATAGCTATAAATTCTCTGTACTGCACATCATCTGCATTCATTATATTTAAAAGTCCTAGCACCGTCACTCTGGAACCAGTTGCCACCCTCAGTTAGGCTGTCCCCATCTCTGCCAGCCTTTAAGAGTTGCCTAAAAACACACCTTCTCCACTTGGCGTTTCCTGAACATGTTTGATTCGGCCCTCTTTTACGTTGAATTTCTTTCACAGTTTTAATTGGTTCACTCTATCCCTTGTGTTACCCATCTGTCCTGTACTAGAATGTTTCACCTTTTTTTGTAATTTGTATTTTGTCATTTGAATTGCTTTTATTTTTTAATTGCTTTTATTTTTGATTTATTCACTATATTTGTACTTCTACTGTACCATGTTCAGCGTCTTGGGCTTCCTGACAGGGATGCGGAAGGCGCTTTATAAATAAAGCTTTGATTGATTGATTGATTGATTGATTGATTGAAGTAAGAATGGCATCCTTTGGTCAAACTGGGGTACTGCAGCCTATTTTCAAACCACACAAGTGACTTTTCTTACTACCTTTCTGTGAGTTTACATGGCAGTTACGGCTCAGCACTAGAAGATTCCAGATGAAGAGTGTAGATGAGTCATACACAGTAAGTTGAGAAGTTGATAAATAATGTTAACATAATATTGAGTTTTTGGTACATGAAAAAGTAGCTAGAGATAATTTTAGAGCTGACTATTTGCTTCTAATTCACTGTTAGCATTGTTAGCTTAATGTTAGCCTCTTGCCTTCTTTTACTGATATTAGAGATAAACAAAAGAAGAAGAAGAAGAAGAAGAAGAAGAAGAAGAAGAAGAAGAAGAAGAAGAAGAAGAAGAAGAAATAGAAAAATAAATAACCTCCGGGTCGCTCCTTTAGGTTATTTCCAAAATTTGCTGGCTGGTGTTGAATTAAATGCATGTGCAGCAGCGCTTTCCGGCATAAACTCGGCAACCTCACAGAGTCACAGATTGTAAACAAAGACTATGTCCCTCTTTAGCTTGTTGAAAGGAGAAAAACTAACAAGCCCCCAGCCAGCTAAGAAGGAAACCTGTTTCAATATAACCTTTCTTCCAACATGATTGAGACATCACACTGTTTAGTGATAATTTCACTGTGAAAGTCTTACATATTGCTACTTTAATATCATCAGACTTGAACATTTTAACTATATTTTAATGCCAACATTTATTATTTTTGCTGGTGTGTTTTTTTTTTTACAAATGCTATCGACTTATTTCAGAATAGTGAAAAACTTTGCCTAAGGAGTTTCCTACAGTCATGCTAATGTCATTTTGAATGCCTGAATAACCACAAAAAACAACTAAAGACCAAAGTTTGATAAGAACAAACACACAAAAAAGGCAATGCCAGTTCAAATTAAGCGACTTAGATATTGGAATAAACAAGATATTACATTATACCCATAAACTAAAATTCTGTTGATTCATTTTGCAACAGCAACCTAATCCAGAAAGATTAATAAAAAGTGATAACTGTAGTTATATCCAGACTGTCAATAGTTTGGCAGTTTATTCTGCTGAAGCAGCTTCAGAGCCTTTATTGCTCTCTGGAGAGCATTTGCTACACAGCGTATTACCAGTGCACATTTGCAGCCTAACTTGCAATAATATCTTCAATCATTCACTCACTTTTTATGGGAGTGTGTGAAATTCTGAGTGTTGGGACAAATGAGGGCTAAAATAAAAGGAGATGAAAGACTCACTGTGGAGCAGCACATGAAAACGATGATGAAGGTCCCAATGACGCCTCCGATTCCCACCAGCCAGGTCATCCTGAGGAAAAGGATCACGCCGAAGATGTTCTGGATGCATGGCATGTACACGCCCATCAGTGTGCCGAGCTGGGGCGCCTGGATGGGGACGAGGGGAGGAGGAGTAAAAAACAAAAAGTCAAACATTAAATGATTTGTGTTTATTATTCACTCTCATTTGAAAAAGTTTCTCCTTTACATCTTTTTTTCAGATTTTCAGACAAGTGTCACTCTGCAGAATGTAAATGCTTAGTTTAGGGTCACTTGCCAGACCGCCACAAGGCCGACTCACCAGATATGCAGCACTGACCGAATGATTCCTGCTACAGTTTGGCGGTTGTGCGACCCAGTGAAAGCGATATACCAGCTGTGCATGCTGAGAGGTGATGTGAGGATCTGCTTCTGTTTGACTGTCTTATATTTTTACACGGTTAATAATAACCCTAACACTTAAATTAAAACAAAACACAAATGGGACAACTGCTATTAAATGAAACTGACATTCACTCACAGCGCTTCACAGATGATCTCTTTCAAAATGCACAATTTGGAAAATAACACATGTTGCAAATAACTCAAACCCACAAAACATTGTTCAGCAAAATAGGTTATTGCAGTCTAACTCTGGGAAAAAAGTTTGAGTCTTGGGACCAAGCTGTTCTGAGGAACAAATTATTGTATTTCTTTCCCTGGTTGTTGTTTTATTTATTTTTTTGGTGATGGATTTGTTCTGGTTGTATTTTATGCACTATTGTCTTTGCTGTGGATCAGTGAATAAACACAGAGGTGCACAGCACCACAATCTGTTTCAAGGCCATTCTGTTAAAGGCAGTTACTAACACGGACGTATTTTGTCACATTTTCTCTTGATGAATAAGCGTTGTTATTGATGTGAAAGTGTATTCTTGTTCTATATATTTTAGTACTGTGCCTTGCTGCGTGTGTGTCTGCACCACTGCCTTGCTGTGATTTAAATCTGAAGGACAAATACGTCGACCTCCTAAAGTGCAATTTTCATCTCCTGCTCAAGGACAGCTTGGTCAAAGATGGGTAATTATGCAAACCTCCAACCATGACCCACTTTACCAAGTGAGAGCACACCATCATAGGAAAACACATCAACACACCCTCCCTGCTGACTCCCTGTGCTCAAATAAAGACAGCCGAGACAGACTGAAGGTAAATTAGCTCTGAGTCATGACTCATGTCTGTAATGGTGGTGGTCAGGAGGGATTGCTCCAAATAAGCTCCCATTTCAAAGTAAAACGTCACATGAGCAAATTCCAAAAGCTTAGATTTTACTCATCTCAGTCGAGTGTTTTATTTTCAGATTGACCCAGTTTTGTTCTTTAAATTAAGGAGTGTTTTCACTAGGAGGGGGAATGAATTTAGAGCTATTTAGATATATTTAAATAATGATTACACACTTTCAAATGATTAAACCTATTTTTAGCATTAAAAAAAGAACATTTTAACTTGGCAAATATCCAAAACCTGTTTTCAGTCTAGACCAATGAATTCCATCACATCCATGTCACCCTGGAAAACAGAATCCCACGGACTGAGATCGCATCCACTGTTCCAGTTAAAGGTAATCAGCACCTGTTGGACAAACTGGTCTTCAGTGGATGTTTTCTTTGAATTTTGCATGAAATTTGACAAATTTAAACTTTTGATTTAGATTTAGATTCATTGTCATCCAGCATGTAGAACAGAATGAATGTATGTAATAGACCGTATGTTACACAATGACATCTAGAATTAAACTGTCATTGCTAACTGCAGAGGACAAATTAGAGGTCATGAACTCTACGGCCTCAGCAAAAAAGCTGCTCCTCAGCCTTATTCAGACTCTGAGGCTTCTCAATCTTGTGCCTGAGTGGGTGGGATCTGTCAAATGTTCTTTGGTTCCTTAACATCAGCATCACAGCAGTTTCCTACCAGACTGGTACGGAGGATGTCATGACGCTCTCCACCAAATATCTAGCAAATAGACCAAGCGTAGCAGGAGCAAAATAATTGTCTATGCAGGTTGGTCTAGATAGAGCTCTATTGTAACCTAAGTAGGTCTACTATTGGCTTGGCTTGGCTAAGTGAATGCCAGTCCAATCACAGTGCTCTGTGTAGACACGCTGGACGTGCTCAACACCATTACAGCTGAGATTTTTCGTTACATTAATGCCACAGCTGTGAACAAGCAGAACAACATAGATGGCTGTGGCTCACCAGCAGTACTTCTTTAAGATCACGGGGGGCTCACAGAAGTTTTTTTTAAGCCTTATTGGTTTGTGCCACCCTGGTGAAGTGATGCAATATGTGTGTGTGATGCTCGTGGATGAAGCACCGGCACTAACTTCTTCTACTTTTTAATGGCATAAGGAGCCTAAAGCCTAATTCATCCTTCTCCGTTAGCAACTTTATGCTCACATGCACAAGTGCTGATGGAGACGTTTTCCTTTCACACTTCTGAATTGGCACACAGTAATTCTCACACACTGGTGATGATGAGCAATGTAGCCACAGCTGCCCTGGGGCACACTGACAGAGGCGAGGCCTGCCACACACTGGCACCACCGGTCCTTCCGACCATCGCCAGCAGGCAAGACGGGTCAAGTATCTTGCCCAAGGACACAACAGCAGCATTCTCTGGCGGGAGCTGGGGTCGAACCTGCAACATTCCAATTACTGGAGAACCCGCTCTACCTCCTTAGCTACTGCTGCCACATTCTTCAATCTGCTCTGTATCTGCCGCTGTCTTTGGCTCTGGTTGAATTTTTTTGAGTGGGAATGGTGGAAGTTAGGGGAAGCCACATCCTGACCAATCACAGGCTTGCAGTCACCCTTGCTTTGGACAGATCATTAGAAAAGTGTGCTTTACTCTGAGAACTATGAACTAGGCTCAAGTCACACTCATTTACTTTCACACCATGGGTCCGCAGAAATAAGAAAAAATAAATGCTAGTCAATGAGCCTAAAAATGTTATTTTCTAATCCCGTTTGTTATGTGCCATGGGTTTCACATATGATGTCTGTGGACTTTAAAGACAGATTTTGAGGCCAAGAAGGTGCTTATTGTGAAACGGCGGCAAAAGTAATTTCAATTTTTGTGTGAGAAGACATATAGGACTACAAATGTGTCTCACTATATTAACATCATCGACAAAGAGAAGGAAATGGCTGTGAGTTTTGCAAACTTCGAATCCTTCTTCCTGGATGACAGAAGGAACATTAAACGTGTAGAAAACCAAAACAAACAATCTGGCCATGTGGTAAGTAAGTGAGAATCTCCAGTGATGTCATATATGCGACATCTGATTTGTAGTCATATTATTTACGGACTTTTAAAAGCTAACAAATCTCAAAGTTCCCGACAGTCATAGTCAAAACTCATAATTATTTTTCATTTAAATTGAAGCATGCATGATTCAGGAAGTTAGGCAAAGTGATGTAGAAAAAAAGCTTTTATAGCCCTGCGCTATGAATGCATCACTTGTTCTGATTGGTCCTAGCACTGTCCAACTGCATAGAGTTTGAAAGACAACTGTAGATTCTGCGCCATGCCTGAGCTCTAGTCGATAAGTCATTGCCAGACTATATATTTGCATCTTTAGGATGGCTTGACAAGCTAGTTTCTAGAGCAGACCAGTGAAAGAAAATCACGGCAGCACTGAGAGCAGTGTTTTCCAGCCTCCCCATTAAAGAGACATGGCTGGACTGAATGAAGAGTTTATAAAAACAGAATCACTTCAACAAGAGGGTGACATGTGCATTTTTAGATTAAAGTAATAAGTTGGTTAAAAAATACTTCTGAAAAGGTTGCCATTAAGTTTATAATTAAAAAGTATATTTTGATTCTGGATAATTGTTCTTCAAAGTCATAAAACTTTACTTGGCTAACATTTGAATCTAAACATTGCATTATCTGACGTTACACCTGTGGTTTTTCCTCATCACTGGTACAGTTTTTGTACTCGAGTGTGTGTTTAGCTCCGTCTTCCACCAGGTTGAAAATGGTCCGATTGGCCCACCACATCCTCTGCAACAAAATTCTCACAGCGGGGCATCTTTGAGCCATCAGCCTTGCTGTGCTTTAATCAAAGATCCACATCTTGGCCTCCACAGTCTGTTCAAGGCAGCAGCTGAGAACAAACCCTGCTCATCTCCACCACATCCCTCACTATATGACAATGATTTACATACTCTGCTCTTTGTCTATGGTATGTAAATCAGACTGTGACTCACTCTGGCTGCTGCCTTCAGTTGGTGACAGAGAAGACTTTTCATCATCTGCTGTCAACGGCCTTAATGATGTTGTTTTTGTAGTCCATGAGGTCTGAACAGGTTCCCATCTGGAAAGTTGCGTCTATGTTTGCTTTAAGCGGAACATTTCCAAATTTAACATTGTTATTGAATGTAATGTTATGAATCTAACACTATGTTGCCGTACAGCAAGAAAGTTGCAGATTCACCCAGGAACACCCAGCTGCAGTCTTTCTATGCATGTTCTCCTCATGCGAGTGGGTTTACACGTCCCACATTTGGTTCTTTTTTAAAACACTGATATGGTTTCTCTTTACCTTGCTGATGGTTTCGTTTGAGGCTGCAAACATCTTCGGAGCTGACGGTGGCGTCACTTCCTACTCCGTTTATCCGCAGGCAGCAGAGGATGTTGTCGCCCTCTGCTGCCCGCTCTCCCCTCTCTAATGATGCAGTCCCATGCGCGATCCAATGAGTAAACTCCATTGTCTCTGTTCATGGTCCCACAGCCATGTATCCTTATCTTTATAGCTTCCTTTATCCATCTTTTGTATTTCTGTTGGGGGCGGCAGAGGGCGACAACGTCCTCTGCTGCCCGCGGATAAACAGAGTAGGAAGTGACTCCACCATCAGCGTCAGCTCTGATGATGTTTGCAGCCGCAAACGAAACCATCAACAAGGTAGAGAGAAACCTTATCTGTGTTTTAAAAAAGAACCAAATATGGAATTAGAAGACAAACACAGCAAGAACGTACAAAAGGGGTTTACGCATGTACGTCTATTTCCTTCACTAGAAACATTCATATTTGGGACTCACAATTTATTCATTTAAGCAGCAATCC